CACACACACAGTAGTTGAACTGTATAAAACACTAATTCATTCATTACCCTTCCCGGTTATTCCCTTTCGGGGTCGGGGGTACACCCTGGACAGGTCGCCAGTCCATCGCAGAGCAACATTCACTCACACATTCACATCTAAGAGGACTTTAGATTATTCAATTAACCGATTGTGGGGGAAACTGGAATACCCAGGGGAAACCCACGCAAACACAGGGAAAACATGCTAAATCATTCCAGTAAGGTCACCGGTAAGAGTCTCAATCCGCCAACCTTCTTGAAGGTGCTACCGTGCCGCCCTCTGTACAAAGCAGGATTTTAAAATTATTCAAGGAACTGGGAATGCCAATCTGCAGTGTTCAAACTTTGATTTAGAAGTGGAAAGTGAGGGAACATTTCTGCTACAACTGCCAGAAAAAATTGTGTGCGCTCCAAAGAAAAACCTACAAATAACTTCTGCAGATATACAAGGGTCTGAACAAATGTGGCGCGGCTGTTTCAAGGAGAACAAAAAGGCGACACATGCTGGTCAAGTTGCCAGAAGACAGTCATTATTTCTCAAATACCACAAAGTATGTAAACTGATGAGCACAACTGTAAAAAGGCACACATACAGTGAATCAGTCTTATTAATAATTAGATTGGTAAGAAGTGCTTTAAACTGAACACAAAATCACTGTCAAAGAAAAAGGGAGTTACATTACTGTTCTGAGTATGTGACATCAGAGCTGATTAAAAATGCTAATATCCAAATGACAGGTCACCATAAAATATTTTTTCAGAGAACAAGAACCATATGTACATTCAATGAACATATAAACAGAAACTGAATACTGAGGGATATATAGACCTTATCGTTCACTGTAGCGTATTGTTGTTCACAGAACTTAGACAATTGGACCTACATTTCCAGTAGGACTATTTAATAAACTGTTAACCCGTTAGCAAACCGCTAACGTTAGTAAGTTTTAGCAATTTTAAGAGCAAAACTCATTTATATTGTCCTGATTTAGTGTAGATTAAGACAAGAATGTGTTTGAAGCAACTTTTTCTGAGATTTTTCTCTAAAATATGACTGCAATCCGGAAGCTAAAGGAAATTGTAGTCACATCACTGTTTACCTGGACTTCACAGACCAAACAAAGGAAAACCTCAAGATCATAAGAAATAATTAAGAAGTTGTTTTATAGAATAAAATACATAGAAGTTTGCAAGATTACATGTACCTTGCTCGATAGATTCCTTTTAGACATTAATGATTAGATTGTTTAATCAGTTTACTGGTTTGTTATGTAATAAGTAAAAAGATGATTAATTATGTTCAGAGCATTATTTCAATCTTTAAAATACATTTGATTTACCTCTCTGCTGTAGGAAATCAGGAGGAGGATGAAAATGAACCTAATCAAGATGAGCTTGTTAACGTTAGCGGTTTGCTAACGGGTTAACCAACAATAACAGTTAAATAGTTAAATAGTCTTTATTGTCTGAATTTTGGTCCAATGTCCTATCTAATTTTAACAATGAAACGTCTGTTCTGGTCCTTTTTTTGGCTAAATGACTGACATTCGGGTACACGACAATATTCCATAGTGAACGAAGAAGATCCGCTGTCTCTCACAGCCTCGTCTTCGATTCAAAATGGAGGCGGGTTGATTCAGGTCCATAGGAACAAATCAGATGAGAATAAACTGAGAGGAGTAAAAATGATGAGACATGAGGTATGAAAACGAGGGAGAAAAGAGAGGGAAAGAAAGACCCAGACAGATCTGACAGCATGGAGGAATTATGGGGAACATGAGGCTCATTCATTTTTCGGAATGGCCACTTATTCCCTTTCGGTGTCAAGGGGGTCTGCTCACATCGGAAGGGGGTTCACCCTGGACAGGTCACCAGTCCATCGCAGGGAACATGAGACTGAGAATAAGAAATAATCTTGAAATAAACTATACTACACTTCAAAATACTAATTAGTAACAATATATATATAAAATTCCCCACTCGCCCCTCCTTGAGGGCAGTTTCTCTTACTCCTTTCAAGCTCGATTCCTCTACCAGAGGCCTGGGAGCTTGAGGATTCTGCACAGTATCTTGGCTGTTCCTAGAATTGCGCTCTTCTGGACAGAGATGTCAGATGTTGTTCCTGGGATTGGCCACTTTTCCAGTTTGGGGGTCACAGCTCCGAGGATACTGTAGAGTTACTGCTATCCAAATTTTGATTAAAATATTACTTTTGGGCTTCAAAGATCAAAGATCTCAGTTGGAACACAAGTTTATGCTCTCTTATCCACTTGTGCGATTCATGTTTACTCTTTTGTGTTTTAAATGAATAATCTGTAAGATATGGAGTGTCATGAGTCTCATGGGAACTGCAATAGTATGTTACTGATAACGTTGATGAACGTCAATCTGTAGTTCTCCATATTAACATTTCAGTTATCAGACTTGGTTAAGTTAGTTCTTGTTAACTTCCTGTAAAAAACTGCTGGATGTCTGTTTAACAGCCTACAGGAGTCATGCCCAAAATCAGGAGTAAGAAAGTTGAAAATGACAGGCCTCTCTTTCAGCTTCACTCACCCATATCACGCAGACTCATTAGTCTCTTGCTGGTGATGGTTTGATGGAAGTGTGGGTCAGTGTGTCACCTGTACTTGTGTTTCCGAAGGGTGTTCCTCCTCTCTGCTGAAGGAGCCATTGAAGCCTCTGAAGGACTCGCTCTTCTCCTTGTCCTTCTCAACAGTATCCAGGATCACCTACACAATACACCTAATATTATTCCTTTCTCGAATCCCAAACCGCTCAATTTGAACATCATTGTTGTACTCATTTCTTATACACATGTTTTTGTTTGTATTGTGTTCCAGAATTCAGTTCTGTTAGGTGTGGTGTAGTAAAAGTAACTAACTTTAATCCAGTCCTGCTTCTCTTCTGCCGTCCTGCAAAAACACACTCAAAATGAGTTCAATTAAGCACAAATCTTTTCATTAATGGCATTGGAGCTTGTTTACATGTTTCTCTGTCTACGGGATATTTCCCTTTTCAGTGTTTTATCAAACAAACTGCTTTATTTATCTTTTTTTCTGAACATACTTTAGAAATGTTAGTCGGTCAGCCGGATAATTCTCACCTACTTTTTCTACATACCATTCATTTGGACATAATGCATTATACAAAGTCCTACTTCCCAAATATTCCAGACAGCCAAAATCCAAAGAAGAAGAAAAATTATAATTAAACCTGCAAGCATTGAACGAATGAAAGAAATGTCAAAAATATTAATCTTTTCATAACATCTGAAATAGCTTTTCATGTTTTGTTCTTGAATAACAAGCGTGAATTTTCTGGACTGCACACAAAGTTACATAAATTTACCCTTTGAATTCTCTGCCGGTTAAGTAGTGACAAAACCCAGGAATTTTTTCCTTTTGATTTTAAATATAATGCACTGTTGTCAAATGGATAATTAGCTCTGATTTAAAATTAACATTACGAGAGTTATGACACATAATTTGCAAGATAATTAAAATGAAAATGTGAGATTATGTGCGATCATCTTTCAGGTTCATTTTACAGTCGGTGCCAAACGTGCCATCTAGTGGTAAAAAAGGGATAACACTTGGAAGTACAAAACCTGTGATATGGATTGTTATTTTTTCAAAGTTCTGGCACAAAAAGTTCTTGGAACAGTGTCTAACAATTAAGAGTCGTTCGCCTAGTTTTTGATACAATTTTCATATTGTTTTGACCTTGTTTATTTATGGGAAGATTTATAAATTTTTATTTTGTCTTTGTTTTGTTTAAAGCACAAAAACAGTTTTTTGTTGTTGTGGAATTATTGTGTAAGTTATAGTGTGTAAAATATTATATATATTTTCTGTATTTCACCTGGCCTGCAGCTCCAGGGATCTATGTTTTCCGATGATGGTGAAAGTGTGTAAGGCATTGTGTTTCACAATCTCCTGGACCTGCAAAAACAACACAAAGCTGATTAATTTTAGGATTAAAGTTGAGTTAAGACCTTTGAAAGATGAACACAAACACCTTGTTGCAATAGAAAATAAAAATACACAGCTGAGACACTTTCTTTTCCTCTGTTACAACAACTAAAATAGATCTTAAAGTGGTTTTCAATAAAGTCTAAGTTAATCGTGCAACAGATGGAAGTGTTTTTCTATCTTGTTTGAGATGAAAATTGTTTCCTCAAGTTTTTTTTTTAATTGAAAAAGGGGATTTCTCACAAAATCAAGTGGTGATGGGGCATTCGTTCATGCATTGGCATGGTTTTCTGCACAAAATCATTGCGTGATTTAGTAAAGACATACGATAAACTGCAACTCGGTTGTCCAGTAATTCTCAAGTTGTTTAATTTTAGTCCACACGTGCAGTTTTTTTTTGATGATGATGATTATGATTTAACTGTTAGAAGTACCTGCATGCACCGGTGCCTGTGCCAATCACAGCAGCTGTTCTGAATTGAGTATGAATGACGTGACCCATCTATTGTTTCACTTTGATTTAAAATATAATGTGTAGGTTTAAAAAAGGTTATTTGTTTTGATATTACTTGGTTTACGAACAGTACAACAACTACGATTTAATTTGCAAGAAATTTTTTTTTGGAGGATTTATGATTTTTTTTACTAATAACCCATGCTCCAGTGGTGCAATTGTTTAGCGCGCGGTACTTATATGACAGTACAGAGCAATGCCAATGTTGTGAGTTCATGCTTCACCTGGAGCATGGTCTAAGTGTCTAAAAACATCGTTTCTTAGTTTGAAGAACCTTCTCTCCCTTTACTTTTCACTGTGACAAGGAATTAATGCTCCAGTGGCGCAATTGGTTAGCTTGAGGTACTAATATGGCAGTACAGAGCAATGCTGTGGTTGTCTTTGAGTGCCTCACCTGGTGCAGTATTTTAGAGTCTGAACACATCTGAACATTGTTTGAAATACTAAAAAAGCCTTCTCTCGCTTTACTTTGTACTGTCCTTGTGTAGTCATGCTCCAGTAGCGCAATTGGTTAGCGTGCTGTACTTAAAAGACAGTAGAAAGCATGCCGAGGTTGGGAGTTCGAGCCTCACCTGGAGCATGGTTTTAGAGTCTAAACATATCTGATCTTTGTTTGAAATACTAAAAAAGCCTTCTCTCGCTTTACTTTGTACTGTCCTTGTGTAGTCATGCTCCAGTAGCGCAATCGGTTAGCGCACGGTACTTATATGACAGTGCAGAGCAATGCCGAGGTTGTGAGTTTGAGCCTCACCTGGAGCATGATTTTAGAGTCTAAAAACATACTTTCTTTGTTTGAAGTTATGCAAGCATCTTACTTCCATTTTCTAATTGGTGTCACCAAAAGGATGTGTTCCAGTGGAAAAATCGTTTAACGGATGGATCTTATAAAACAGTACAGAGCAATGCTATGGTTGTTAGTGAGTACCTCACCTGGTGCAAGATTTTAGAGTCTAAACACATCTGAATTTTGTTTGAAATACTGAAATCACCTTCTCTACCTTTACTTTAGACTGTAACAAGGTATTCAAGCTCCAGTAGCGCAATCGGTTAGCGCGCGGTACTTATATGACAGTGCAGAGCAATGCCGAGGTTGTGAGTTCGAGCCTCACCTGGTGCAAGATTTTAGAGTCTAAACACATCTGAATTTTGTTTGAAATACTGAAATCACCTTCTCTACCTTTACTTTAGACTGTAACAAGGTATTCAAGCTCCAGTAGCGCAATCGGTTAGCGCGCGGTACCTATATGACAGTGCAGAGCAATGCCGAGGTTGTGAGTTCGAACCTCACCTGGAGCATGATTTTAGAGTTTAAACATATCTGAATTTTGTTTGAAATACTGAAATCACCTTCTCTACCTTTACTTTAGACTGTAACAAGGTATTCAAGCTCCAATAGCGCAATCGGTTAGTGCGCGGTACTTATATGACAGTGCAGAGCAATGCCGAGGTTGTGAGTTCGAGCCTCACCTGGAGCATGGTTTTAGAGTCTAAAAACATACTTTCTTTGTTTGAAGTTATGCAAGCATCTTACTTCCATTTTCTAATTGGTGTCACCAAAAGGATGTGTTCCAGTGGAAAAATCGTTTAACGGATTGTTCTTATAAAACAGTACAGAGCAATGCTATGGTTGTTAGTGAGTACCTCACCTGGTGCAAGATTTTAGAGTCTAAACACATCTGAACTTTGTTTGAAATATTGAAATCACCTCTAATTTTACTTTAAAATGTCTGAGTGTTCACGCCCCAGTGGCGCAATCGGTTAGCGCGCGGTACTTATATGACAGTACAGAGCAATGCCGAGGTTGTGAGTTCGAGCCTCACCTGGAGCATGGTTTTAGAGTTTAAACACATCTGAATTTTGTTTGAAATACTGAAATCACCTTCTCTACCTTTACTTTAGACTGTAACAAGGTATTCAAGCTCCAGTAGCGCAATCGGTTAGCGCGCGGTACTTATATGACAGTGCAGGAGCTATGCCGAGGTTGTGAGTTCGAACCTCACCTGGAGCATGATTTTAGAGTTTCAAAACTTCCTTTCTACCTTTACTTTAGACTGTAACAAGGTATTCAAGCTCCAGTAGCGCAATCGGTTAGTGCGCGGTACTTATATGACAGTGCAGAGCAATGCCGAGGTTGTGAGTTCGATCCTCACCTGGAGCATGGTTTTAGAGTTTAAACACATCTGATGTTTGTTTTAAATACTAAAATAACCTTCTCTCCCTTTACTTTAGACTGTAAAAAGGTATTCATGCTCCAGTAGCGCAATCGGTTAGCGCACGGTACTTATATGACAGTGCAGAGCAATGCCGAGGTTGTGAGTTCGAGCCTCACTTGGAGCATGATTTTGGAGTCTAAACACATCTGAATTTTGTTTGAAATACTGAAATCACCTTCTCTACCTTTACTTTAGACTGTAACAAGGTATTCAAGCTCCAGTAGCGCAATCGTTTAGCGCGCGGTACTTATATGACAGTGCAGAGCAATGCCGAGGTTGTGAGTTCGAGCCTCACCTGGAGCATGGTTTTAGAGTCTAAACACATCTGAATTTTGTTTGAAATACTGAAATCACCTTCTCCACCTTTACTTTAGACTGTAACAAGGTATTCAAGCTCCAGTAGCGCAATCGGTTAGCGCGCGGTACTTATATGACAGTGCAGAGCAATGACGAGGTTGTGAGTTCGAGCCTCACCTGTAGCATGATTTTGGAGTCTAAAAACATACTTTCTTTGTTTGAAGTTATGCAAGCATCTTACTTCCATTTTCTAATTGGTGTCACCAAAAGGATGTGTTCCAGTGGAAAAATCGTTTAACGGATGGATCTTATAAAACAGTACAGAGCAATGCTATGGTTGTTAGTGAGTACCTCACCTGGTGCAAGATTTTAGAGTCTAAACACATCTGAACTTTGTTTGAAATATTGAAATCACCTTCTCTCATTTTACTTCAAAATGTCTGTGTGTTCACACTCCAGTAGTGCAATCGGTTAGCATGCGGTACTTATGTGACAGTACAGAGCAATGCTGAGTTTGTGAGTTCGAGCCTCACCTGGCGCATGGTTTTAGAGTCTAAACACATCTGAATTTTGTTTGAAACACTGAAATCACCTTCTCTACCTTTACTTTAGACTGTGAAAAGGTATTCAAGCTCCAGTAGCGCAATCGGTTAGCGCGCGGTACTTACATGACAGTGCAGAGCAATGCCGAGGTTGTGAGTTCGAGCCTCACCTGGAGCATGGTTTTAGAGTTTAAACACATCTGAATTTTGTTTGAAATACTGAAATCACCTTCTCTACCTTTACTTTAGACTGTAACAAGGTATTCATGCTCCAGTAGCGCAATCGGTTAGCGCGCGGTACTTATATGACAGTGCAGAGCAATGCCGAGGTTGTGAGTTCGAACCTCACCTGGAGCATGATTTTAGAGTTTCAAAACTTCCTTTCTTTGTTTGAAGTTATGCAAGCATCTTACTTCCATTTTCTAATTGGTGGCTAAATCGAATAATGCACAGAACTTATAAAACAGTGCAGAGAAATGCTGTGGTTGTCTTTGAGTGCCTCACCTGGTGCAGTATTTTAGAGTCTAAACACATCTGAATTTTGTTTGAAATAATGAAATCACCTTCTCTCCATTTACTTTAGACTGTAACAAGGTATTCATGCTCCAGTAGCGCAATCGGTTAGCGCGCGGTACTTATATGACAGTACAGAGCAATGCCGAGGTTGTGAGTTCGAGCCTCACCTGGAGCATGGTTTTAGAGTTTAAACACATCTGATCTTTGTTTTAAATACTAAAATAACCTTCTCTCCCTTTACTTTAGACTGTAACAAGGTATTCACGCTCCAGTAGCGCAATCGGTTAGCGCGTGGTACTTATATGACAGTACAGAGCAATGCCGAGGTTGTGAGTTTGAGCCTCACCTGGAGCATGATTTTAGAGTTTAAACACATCTGATCTTTGTTTTAAATACTAAAATAACCTTCTCTCCCTTTACTTTAGACTGTAAAAAGGTATTCATGCTCCAGTAGCGCAATCGGTTAGCGCGCGGTACTTATATGACAGTGCAGAGCAATGCCGAGGTTGTGAGTTCGAGCTTCACCTGGAGCATGATTTTAGAGTTTAAACACATCTGATCTTTGTTTTAAATACTGAAATCACCTTCTCTACCTTTACTTTAGACTGTAACAAGGTATTCAAGCTCCAGTAGCGCAATCGGTTAGCGCGCGGTACTTATATGACAGTGCAGAGCAATGCCGAGGTTGTGAGTTCGAGCCTCACCTGGAGCATGGTTTTAGAGTCTAAACACATCTGAATTTTGTTTGAAATACTGAAATCACCTTCTCTACCTTTACTTTAGACTGTAACAAGGTATTCAAGCTCCAGTAGCGCAATCGGTTAGCGTGCGGTACTTATATGACAGTGCAGAGCAATGCTGAGGTTGTGAGTTCGAGCCTCACCTGGAGCATGGTTTTAGAGTCTAAAAACTTACTTTCTTTGTTTGAAGTTATGCAAGCATCTTACTTCTTTTTCTAATTGGTGTCACCAAAAGGATGTGTTCCAGTGGAAAAATCGTTTAACGGATGGATCTTATAAAACAGTACAGAGCAATGCTATGGTTGTTAGTGAGTACCTCACCTGGTGCAAGATTTTAGAGTCTAAACACATCTGAACTTTGTTTGAAATATTGAAATCACCTTCTCTCATTTTACTTCAAAATGTCTGTGTGTTCACGCTCCAGTAGCGCAATCGGTTAGCATGCGGTACTTATGTGACAGTACAGAGCAATGCTGAGTTTGTGAGTTCGAGCCTCACCTGGCGCATGGTTTTAGAGTCTAAACACATCTGAACTTTGTTTGAAATATTGAAATCACCTTCTCTCATTTTACTTTAAAATGTCTGAGTGTTCACGCTCCAATGGTGCAATCTGTTAGCGCGCGGTACTTATATGACAGTACAGAGCAATGCCGAGGTTGTGAGTTCAAGCCTCACCTGGAGCATGATTTTAGAGTTTCAAAACTTCCTTTCTTTGTTTGAAGTTATGCAACCATCTTACTTCCATTTTCTAATTGGTGGCTAAATCGAATAATGCACAGAACTTATAAAACAGTGCAGAGAAATGCTGTGGTTGTCTTTGAGTGCCTCACCTGGTGCAATATTTTAGAGTCTAAACACATCTGAATTTTGTTTGAAATAATGAAATCACCTTATCTCCATTTACTTTAGACTGTAACAAGGTATTCATGCTCCAGTAGCGCAATCGGTTAGTGCGCGGTACTTATATGACAGTACAGAGCAATGCCGAGGTTGTGAGTTCGAGCCTCAAATGGAGCATGGTTTTAGAGTTTAAACATATCTGATCTTTGTTTTAAATACTGAAATAACCTTCTCTCCCTTTACTTTAGACTGTAACAAGGTATTCATGCTCCAGTAGCGCAATCGGTTAGCGCGCGGTACATATATGACAGTGCAGGAGCAATGCAGAGGTTGTGAGTTCGAACCTCACCTGGAGCATGATTTTAGAGTTTCAAAACTTCCTTTCTTTGTTTGAAGTTATGCAAGCATTTTACTTCCATTTTCTAATTGGTGGCTAAATCGAATAATGCACAGAACTTATATGACAGTGCAGAGCAATGCCGAGGTTGTGAGTTCGAGCCTCACCTGGAGCATGGTTTTCGAATCTAAACATATCTGATCTTTGTTTTAAATACTGAAATCACCTTCTCTCCCTTTACTTTAGACTGTAAAAAGCTATTCATGCTCCAGTAGCGCAATCGGTTAGCGCGCAGTACTTATATGACAGTACAGAGCAATGCCGAGGTTGTGAGTTTGAGCCTCACCTGGAGCATGATTTTAGAGTTTAAACACATCTGATCTTTGTTTTAAATACTAAAATAACCTTCTCTCCCTTTACTTTAGACTGTAAAAAGGTATTCATGCTCCAGTAGCGCAATCGGTTAGCGCGCGGTACTTATATGACAGTGCAGAGCAATGCCGAGGTTGTGAGTTTGAGCCTCACCTGGAGCATGATTTTGGAGTCTAAACACATCTGAATTTTGTTTGAAATACTGAAATCACCTTCTCTACCTTTACTTTAGACTGTAACAAGGTATTCAAGCTCCAGTAGCGCAATCGGTTAGCGCGCGGTACTTATATGACAGTGCAGAGCAATGCCGAGGTTGTGAGTTCGAGCCTCACCTGGAGCATGGTTTTAGAGTCTAAACAACTTCCTTTCTTTGTTTGAAGTTATGCAAGCATCTTACTTCCATTTTCTAATTGGTGGCTAAATCGAATAATGCACAGAACTTATAAAACAGTGCAGAGAAATGCTGTGGTTGTCTTTGAGTGCCTCACCTGGTGCAATATTTTAGAGTCTAAACACATCTGAATTTTGTTTGAAATAATGAAATCACCTTATCTCCATTTACTTTAGACTGTAACAAGGTATTCATGCTCCAGTAGCGCAATCGGTTAGTGCGCGGTACTTATATGACAGTACAGAGCAATGCCGAGGTTGTGAGTTTGAGCCTCACCTGGAGCATGATTTTAGAGTTTAAACACATCTGATCTTTGTTTTAAATACTAAAATAACCTTCTCTCCCTTTACTTTAGACTGTAAAAAGGTATTCATGCTCCAGTAGCGCAATCGGTTAGCGCGCGGTACTTATATGACAGTACAGAGCAATGCCGAGGTTGTGAGTTCGAGCCTCACCTGGAGCATGATTTTAGAGTTTAAACACATCTGATCTTTGTTTTAAATACTAAAATAACCTTCTCTCCTTTTACTTTAGACTGTAAAAAGGTATTCATGCTCCAGTAGCGCAATCGGTTAGCGCGCGGTACTTATATGACAGTGCAGAGCAATGCCGAGGTTGTGAGTTTGAGCCTCACCTGGAGCATGATTTTAGAGTCTAAAAACATACTTTCTTTGTTTGAAGTTATGCAAGCATCTTACTTCCATTTTCTAATTGGTGTCACCAAAAGGATGTGTTCCAGTGGAAAAATCGTTTAACGGATGGATCTTATAAAACAGTACAGAGCAATGCTATGGTTGTTAGTGAGTACCTCACCTGGTGCAAGATTTTAGAGTCTAAACACATCTGAACTTTGTTTGAAATTTTGAAATCACCTTCTCTCATTTTACTTTAAAATGTCTGTGTGTCACACTCCAGTAGCGCAATCGGTTAGCGCGCGGTACTTATGTGACAGTACAGAGCAATGCTGAGGTTGTGAGTTCGAGCCTCACCTGGAGCATGGTTTTAGAGTCTAAAAACTTACTTTCTTTGTTTGAAGTTATGCAAGCATCTTACTTCTTTTTCTAATTGGTGTCACCAAAAGGATGTGTTCCAGTGGAAAAATCGTTTAACGGATGGATCTTATAAAACAGTACAGAGCAATGCTATGGTTGTTAGTGAGTACCTCACCTGGTGCAAGATTTTAGAGTCTAAACACATCTGAACTTTGTTTGAAATATTGAAATCACCTTCTCTAATTTTAATTTAAAATATCTGAGTGTTCACGCTCCAGTAGCGCAATCGGTTAGCGCGCAGTACTTATATGACAGTACAGAGCAATGCCGAGGTTGTGAGTTTGAGCCTCACCTGGAGCATGATTTTAGAGTTTAATCACATCTGATCTTTGTTTTAAATACTAAAATAACCTTCTCTCCCTTTACTTTAGACTGTAAAAAAGGTATTCATGCTCCAGTAGCGCAATCGGTTAGCGCACGGTAGTTATATGACAGTGCAGAGCAATGCCGAGGTTGTGAGTTCGAGCCTCACCTGGAGCATGATTTTGGAGTCTAAACACATCTGAATTTTGTTTGAAATACTGAAATCACTTTCTCTACCTTTACTTTAGACTGTAACAAGGTATTCAAGCTCCAGTAGCGCAATCGGTTAGCGTGCGGTACTTATATGACAGTGCAGAGCAATGCCGAGGTTGTGAGTTCGAGCCTCACCTGGAGCATGGTTTTAGAGTCTAAACACATCTGATCTTTGTTTTAAATACTAAAATAACCTTCTCTCCCTTTACTTTAGACTGTAACAAGGTATTCACGC